TTTGTTGTAATCCTCTGTATTTATTCATTGATGGGTTTCTAAAATAATTTAAAGCTGAACTCCAAGGAATGTAAGAAACTACCCCTTCTGGGGTATAAGGTCCTATCACGTTGGTATAGTGTTCTTACGCTCTTACATAAGATTTTCCTTCTGTCTCTCTCACTAGTTGGCATGATCAACAATCAGACGCTTCATTACTACACATATTCTGCACAGGCGCCCTTATCTGTTCTTTCTGGGACTCAGTCTGGAAACTGATCTTTAGACTGACAGATATTTTGCTAGCGGATGAAATATGGCAGTGCTTGCTTCACCTCACCCCACATTCCAGGCATAGATAGAAGAAGTCCCTCTTCATCCATCTTCTCAATGCTGCTAAAATATGTATTCCGCAAAGGTAGAAATGCCCAGAACCCCCAACAGTTGGTCAGTGGATGGCTGTGATGAATGAAGTAAACCTGATTGAACAATTAACGGCTGCCTTAAAACAAAAGGAGGAGCCCCTATAACCCCCTATGGCCTCCTTGGACAAGCAACCATGACTGTACATGCATACCCAACCCTCTCCTCCCAAACCCCACCCCCTTTTTTTTTTTCTTACCTGTAATTTCCTATTGAGTCTGTCCATTCTCTTATCCTGCTCATTCTTGCTTGTCATTCTGATGTCCCGATGTCACATCCACTAGGCCACACCCAACGCATTTCGTCACTTGACGTCTTCAAGGGGCGGAGTTGAAGATGTGAAGTGACGAAACACATTGGGTGTGGCCTAGTGGACATGACGTCGGGACGGTCCTCCAAGCTGTCGGCTGTGAGATCGCGGTGCAGGAGGTTCGTCCCTTGGTTTTTTCCCTTGTGGATGTGTTATTATAGAGGCTGTCATTTCTGGTGTCGACTAGACACCTTCCTTGTGAGCGTTATACTTTACTAATACAATTTTATTGGTTTTAAACGTACTGTACCATCATATCTCTTCTTATTCCTCGAGCTTTGCCCATGTTATTGGAAGACTGCTGCTTAGCTGTTCCATATATGCTGCCTAGCTGTTCCATATGTGCTGATTGGATCACTATTGGTTGCTGTTCCTCTACTGGGATATCCTGCAGATCATCGCTCCCAGAGCAAAATGCTATCATACCGGTTTATAATTTAATCAGCATATAGCTCTGGTGAGTGTATTCATTTCATCTGGTGTCGGATTTGCACATGGGTGTTTGTTTCAAGATTGACATTAAGTTGATATTGGATTATCACTGTTTATGGTGGCTGGATTTATGTTTATATTTATGGATTTTATTTTGTTATTTCTATTTATCCTTGCAATTTTTGTGAATAATTAGCACACTCTTTATTTATACACATGTTACATGTTACACCCGTATTTAGGGTGTAACATGTAACATGTTGCTAAGCACACACCCCTCCCTCCCCCCTTATTTTTTTTTTCTGAAAGGTAAATATAGCCATTAAATGATGTTCAAAAGATGATTTTTTTAAAATATTGTAGCCACATTATGGTAGTTAATTGAAACTAGTTAAAACATTTTGCCCTTTTCCCTAACTTTGCAATCACCCTGTAAATTGTCAGTAATGATTTAACCAGATTTAGTATTAACATTGAGAGAGAATTTGAATGAATGTGGGTGGCTTTATGCACAGTAGCAGATAATCTCCATTATGTTTATAATCTGTTCAGTCATAGGGATTGGATAGATTTTTTTTTTTTTACAGGTAGCCAAAACATATATTGAAGCGTCTAAATATTGGCAGTTGTCATAACATCCAAATTAGAGCTGCAGCCTAAGATAAAAATAAGAATCATTGACAAGGATCATTTTTTAAAAAACCTGTTTTGTTCTCTGATGTAAACCCATCATTTCCAAGAGTAGCAATGGGTTTTAATGACCTCCTACAAACCATTGGAGGGTTGGGTCGTTTTCAGGTTCTCAATACTGCTATGTTGCTCTTTCCTATGATATTTATGGCTTCACATAATTTCCTACAGAATTTTACAGCTGCAGTACCCCTACATCGCTGTCGTATTCCACATTTGGACAATGCTTCAGTTTCTTTTAATTTTAGCACCATTGCAATGTTTATACCAGCAGATGACAACCTGAAGAGCAAAAGTTGTATAAAGTTCAGAAATGCAGAACTTGGCCTGTGGACTAATGTCACTTCAACAAACAACACTGAATCCTGTAAGGATGGCTGGGTCTATGACAAGAGCACCTTCATCTCCACTATCGTCACAGAGGTAATGCACAGAACATGATGATTCTAGATGTAATAAAAGCTTTGAGAATGTTCACACAGCACAATTTGTGAATATTCACTTCAATTATTCAATCATGTTAAATTTAAATCCTGGTGTACTTATTACTGCACATCATTGGATAGTTGAAGTAAATATTCACTCAAATTGTAGGCAAGGTTTACACGTGTAATTTTTAGAACAGAAAAAAAGAGCACTGGATTGCACAGACCATTACTTGTATTCTAAACAAAATTGCACCTAACAATTCCAATTTGAACTTGAAAGGTCAAAGCTGTCCCAGTGATTTTTATTGTCACAGTTCACACCAATATAATGCATTAGTGAGCAATATAAAAAAAAAATAAACAAAAACTACAATGCACAGAGACAATGCACCCCAGCACTTGCAAAAACACATGACAGCGTACATTGCCAGCACACATCTATGCATATGCACTTTCTGTGGTGTGAACCTTACCAATGTTGTTGATACTTTGAAAAACTGTAGGATTCTATTATAAGGGATTCTCAGCTGCACCGTGTATTCAGAACTTTAGTTTGTGTTAGTTTTCTTCAATAGGTATAATAATCTCTGCTCAGTGCAGAACACTTTTGTTCTTCTCTGCCATTTTAGTTTCAGGTACTTCCTGGGATGATGAGTTCAGAGCTTGGAAGCATTGCTCAGGCACTGTTCTGAATACCTTGTTGGTTGTCAGTGCATCCTTTTGTTTTCTTTTCTTTTGAGTGATTTGTAGTAGCCGAATCATGCTAAGAAAATTGCAGTTAGCCTAGGGCTACACTGGTGACTTTCAGTAGCTAAAGTCTACTACAATCATACAATGTTGCAATTTAACCGCTTCCCGACTGCCCTATAGTAGAACTACTGCTACAGGGCGGCAGGGCTGTACAAAATCACCTATATATACATGATTTTTATATTTCCGGGTAGGGGGCTCATGCCCTACCCACGCCACCATTGGCGGCTACAGCTGTCGATCACCAGGTCCCGGTTGGAGCTTCCCTGCCGCACCCGACAATCACCGAGTATCACTGACTGGGTAGAGGTCTGTATGTAAACTATGTAAGTGTAGCCTGCGCAGAGGACTAATCAGTTAGACTGGCCACTGCTAGCAAAACCACAAATGTGTACCAGTGAACAAATGTGTAAGTTCAAATATAAAAATTGCTGCGCTGCCTCTACTAAAAGAAATTGTGGATAAATAAACACCCTACTGCATAAAGGGTTCTACAAATGTGCATGTGCTTCAATGCCCTATGGGCTGACAATTAAAACAAAAGCCAATATGTATATTCAACGTGCTAAAAAAAAAATACTGCTAAAAATGTCAGCGTGTAGAGGTATCAAGACCACACCGACGGCCAACTTTCTGCAGGAGAGAGCTGCAACATCTAATGCGATATTTGACCTACCATTCCAGGTGGTCAGTTGTCTGTGGTGAGTGGGGCTCTGGAGGGGGAGCACTAATTGGAGCACTTCGCATAGAGAATTGCTATGGATAAGAAGATTAACTATTGTATCACTCAGTATTCACATTTGATGCTGATGGGATTTTTTTTTTTTATTTGGAATTTCTTTGGAACTCTTATATGTTTGCATAATTATTAGGACTATATACACATTAGTTTAAAATTCACTGTATACACAGTTTGATCGTATTGTATATTTGTTATTTTTAGCACTATTTTCACTTGAGCAGGTTGAATATACATACAGTATTGGTTTTTGTTTTGTCAGCCCATTGTTAGCCCATAGGGCATTGAAGCATATGCACATTTGTAGGGACCTTTTATGCAGTAGGGTGTTTATCCACAATTTTTTTTTAGTAGAGGCAGCGCAGCAACTTTTATATCTGTATGTGTGGCTCCTTCTAGGGTGTGCCCCCTATTTGTTTCTCTGTGGGGACAACCCCTTGAGGACCAAACTAATGTTGCCACAAGAGAATCCCCTAAGTTCTATACTCCAGGACTGTATGTTTTCCATTTTTCATATCTACTGAAACTTTCCCTTGACATCCAGCCTTTGCACCCATGTCTCCTCTCTCATCCCCTTTATGTTCTTTCATCCCTCCCTTACCCCTTCTGTTTTTCTCCACTTCCTCATCCCCCCTTTTTCCTTCCTATTTCCTTAATTTTTTTTCCCTCTTTTTTTTTTTTCTCTGTCCCCCCCCTCAGGAAACAGAGAATTTATGAATTTGATACTTGTCAAAAAGAATTTATGAATTTGATACTTGTCAAAAAGAAATGATTTAGTACACTTAATGACTTGCAAGCTCATTTTCTTAATGTATGGGAATCATGGCTTAAAGCAGGGGCCCTCAAACTTTTAAACAGAGGGCCAGTTCACTGTCCCTCAGACCGTTGGAAGGCCTGACTATAGTTTAAAAAAAAAAACTATGAACAAATGCAGACACAGTACAGGAGATGACCAGAGACTGCGGACATACAACGGTGGCGGGAATACTGGGCCGGCCGCTCCATAAGATGCACGGACATTTCCCTCCAAGTGTGTCTTATGGAGCGAAATATACGGTAAATGTAGGACACCTTGCTGGGTCAGATCTGTGTACAATGTAAAGAGGGGGGGAGAGAGAGAGGGGGGGAAGGGGGAGAGAGAGAGGTGGGAGAGAGAGAGAGGAGGGGGGGAGAATAGTGCCTCATCATTAGTGTCAGTGGGGGGAGGAATAGTTCCCCATCGTTGGTGTCAGTGGGGGGGAGGAATAGTGCCCCATCGTTGGTGTCAGTGGGGGGGAGGAATAGTGCCCCATCGTTGGTGTCAGTGGGGGGGAGGAATAGTGCCCCATCGTTGTTGTCAGTAGGGGGGAGGAATAGTGCCCCATCGTTGGTGTCAGTGGGGGGGAGGAATAGTGCCCCATCGTTGGTGTCAGTGGGGGGGAGGAATAGTGCCCCATCGTTGGTGTCAGTGGGGGGGGAGGAATAGTGCCTCATCGTTGGTGTTAGTGGGGGGAGGAATAGTGCCCCATCATTGGTGTCAGTGGGGGGGGGGAGGAATAGTGCCCCATCATTGGTGTCAGTCGGAGGAATAATGCCCCATCATTAGTATCAATGATGGGGCACTATTCCTCCCACTGACACCAATGACACTTGCTGACCCCTGTTCCAGCATGGTGCTGCTGCAGCCAGCATACCTGGTTACAGCAGCACCATCTGCACGGCACACTTACTGGGCGGTCAGCTGTCCTCCATTCACTCTGGCCGCTCCCTCACTCGATGTTTGCGGGGCCGCTCGGCTCCGCCTCCTCGCAGGTGATTGGCCACCTGTGTGCCTTTCCTGAGCTACAGTTCTGGCGCCCAATCACCGGTGAGGAGGCGGAGCCGAGCGGGCAGCGAGAACATCCAGTGAACATCCTGTACTCGCGGCAAATACGCCCCTGCCGGTGGGCCGGATAAATGTCCTCGGCGGGCCGCATGTGGCCCGCGGGCGTAGTTTAAGGACCCCTGCCTTAAAGGATAAGTTCACCTTTGAGAACATGTTGCATGTTCCACCCCTTTTTAAGATGGAAATTGTAACATGTTCCCATAGCTGCAGCCACACCCGCCACCCCCATCCCTCTGACAGATAGTACGCTGAAACCTCTTCCCGTACTATCTGTCAAATTTGAAAACCGTGCGGCCATGCGGGGCTCCGCCCGCACGGCCGCGTCACTCATTCACAGACTTCTGTGAATGAATGAACTGCAAGTCCCGACAGCCTTAGCGTCTGTGGGATTGTAGTGTTCAATGAACTACCACGCTGCTGTGGAGCACTGTGGTAGTTCATTGAAGCTTCCTGTCATTATATCTGCTTGCTCGTACATCCCATACGGGCAAGCAGGTACTCTGACAGGTCCGCAGGAGACCTGCATGACATCAGCGATCTACTGATCGCTGGTGAAATGCTTTCAGGCTCCTTTGGACAAAAATAATAAATGCACATTTTTTTACCTCCAAAAAATTGTGCATTTATTTTTGTCCAAAAGGTGAACTTATCCTTTAATTACTCTTTGCCATTTTGGAACCATTATCATCTGAGTTACTTGTAGTCCTGTACTTTGTTTACATGTGCATCCTTTCCTAACCTGTTACCTTGTTTTCACCTTTGTCTCCCTACCCTTACCTTCATTCCTATGTCGCTCATTTCTGCTCCTTTCTCTTTCCCTTTATCCTTTCCTTCTCCTTCTGTTCCTATTCTTTTCTCCTTTCTTCCACCACCACATGTCCCTAGTCCGCAGACAAGTGGGCTTGCCCATACTGGGTTGTCCCTATAGAACCTACCTGTATTACTTTTACATAGGTCCCAGCTGACTACATTTGTTTGCTTATCAGGGCCTCATGCACATGGTTACACAGGGGCCATAGAGTATAATGAAAATGTGCAGTCACTTTCACAGAAACTGCTGCTGCTCTGTATAGTTGCCCATTGGGATGAATTATGAGCTGTGGCTACACGTGCATACACCAGGGATTCCGTAAAGCAAACTATCAGTGTTGGAGCACACGTCTGTGCACAAACGGAATTGAGAAGAATCTCCCTAAGACTCCATGCACACTAGCATTTTTTTAAGCTCCTAGAAGCTGTTATCAGCATATTTCCTAGAAGCGAAATAGTGTTATCCTATGGGGTTGATTTACTAAAGGTAAATATACTGTGCACTGCAAGTGCAGTTGCTTTATATCTGAAGGGAAGCTCTGAAATGAGCCAAAGCTCTGCTGATTTCTTTCATCCAATCATGTGCAAGCAAAAATGCTGTGTTTTTTTTTTATTTTCCTTGCATGTTCCCCTAAAATCTAGAGCAAGTGCACTTTCAAGTGCATTTGCAGTGCACAGCCTATTTGCCTTTAGTCAATCAACCCCTATGTGTCCATGCACACTATTTTAGGCTAGGAGCGTTTTCAAGCTTCAGTGTTTAGGAGCAGAAAAAAAATGTTTTTGTAGAGTTTTTGGGAGCGTTTTTCCAGCAGAAAAAAAAAGTTTTTTTTTTTATTCAGCATTTTTTTAGCTTAAAAATATGCTAGTGTGCATAGAGCCTTAATGTTTCTGAATTGACCATCTACGCATGGCTATCTACCCTTGCATTTTTCTAGCAAACTCTTGCATAAAAACATGCAGTCTTGATGTTCATGTAATGTGATGCCTTTCTGGCCAATTCCTAGTCTACTATGCAAAATGGCAAATACTTACTTGCACCTGCCATACTTTATTGGACATACTGTATAGTGCTAACATGGGGTGAACTGACTCATTTGGAGGAGAAACACAGACTCAGGTCAGTTCAATAACCTGTGTTATATAAAAGAGCTTCAAAAATATCTGATGAATCTAGGATGCTTTTACCAGCAAAATATTATTGGAAAAGTGAATATTTAACTCTTTCTTGCAGTGGGATTTGGTCTGTGACCAGCGTAAAATGAGACAGGTAGCTCAATCAATATATATGGCAGGAGTTTTGGTTGGAGCCTTCATACTTGGAAATTTATCTGACAGGTAATGACAACAGAACATACAATAATTCATATCTATGCACAAAGAACATCAAAACATCCACTTTAATAATAGTTTCCCATTTGCCTTTATAAAGAAATATGGCAGGTCTTTCATTCCTGCAACAAAATGAAACGTAACAGCTACTAATTGAAAATAATAATTAGCATGAAAACACTTTGTCTGTTTGGCATTCCTTGACATTTAGAACTTGATGGTACATGACATTTTCATAAATACAATTTTTAACATATATTTTCTTTTTAGGGGTCTATTTCGAAATGGTTTCACACAAAATTCACACAGCTTTCATCCAGGATTGATACATATTTTCAATCAAAACCAATTAAGAAAATGCATGAATCTTAAAGCGGTAGTAAGTCCTCTATGTTTTTTTCTTTTCAGGGGCCCCCAGGTGAGTTATGCCATAATGTGCTAGTATGCACAGCATACAGTATTAGCACATTATGGCAGGCTTACCTTTTTAAATGGTGCCCTCCAGTGATCGATCCAGTGGGCCCCTGGGGCCTACATCTTTGCCCTGTCTTCCTTCCGGGTCCAGTGCCCACAGCCATTTGAATGGCTGGGCTGCGATGACATCACTCTTGCACATGCGCACGGGAGTCGCATCGCCACTGCTCAGTAGGACCCCAATAGGGTCTCTTCTGTCATAAATACCCTGCCTGTCAGCAATTTTTAAAATCAAAGTTTACTACCGCTTTGAGTAAAGAGAAAATTTAAATATTTATGCATATTTAGCAGTTGTTCATATTCAGGGTGAGAATAGGGTAGATTTCACCTAATATATATTTTCCTAGATCAAAAATTAAACATTAAGGGCCTATTCACACTATTGTGGTGTGTTAGCCCATGTGTATTAACGACTTCCCCACCGCCCTATAGCAGGTGTACTGCTACAGGGCAGCAGGGGTGCGCAAAATCACATATATATATAAGTAATTTTGCATTTCCAAGTAGGGGGCACGTGCCCTACCCGTGCCACCATTTGCGGCTGCGGCTGTCAATCACCAGGTCCCGGTTGGTAAATACCTACCAGCGCCCAGTGATTACTGACCATCTCCAACAGGTAAGAAGACCGTTTTGTTTACTAACAGTCTTCCTCCCCATTGGCTTGGGCACACTGCTCTGGATGGCTGTGCTGTGCACAGCCATCCAGAACAGTGTGCTTACAGTGAAGAACACCCGCCCCCTAGTAAACCACTCCCTACACATATTAAACCCTTTGATCACCCCTCATGTTAACCCCTTCCTGACCAGGGCCATTAGAACAGTGTCAGTGCTTTTTTTTAGGACTGATCACTGTCGTGGTGTCACTGGGTACTGTATGTCAGTGACACCAAGTCAGTTCCCCCCAGTGTCAGAATGTCCACCACAGTCCCGCTAAAAGTCGCTGAATGCCACCATTACTAGTAGAAAAAAAAAATCCCAGTATCTATACCATCATTTGTAAACGCTATAACTTTCACATAAACCAATTAATTTACACTTATTGGGATTTTTGTCTATCAAAGACATGCAGCAGAATACATTTTGGCGTAAATTTAAATTTTTTTAAATTTTTTTACTGGAGAGGTTTAATAGCAAAAAGTCCAAAATATTTTTTTTCTCAAAATTGTGGGCCTTTTTTTAATAGCGCAAACAATAAAAAACGCACAGGCGACCAAATATCACCAAAAGAAAGCTCAATTCATGGGAAAAAAGGACGTAAACTTAATTTGGGTGCAGAGTTGCATGACCGCACAATTGTCAGTTAATGTAATGCAGCGCCGTAACGCAAAAAATGGCCTGGTCAGGAAGGGGGGGGGGGGGGGGTAAATCCTCATGAGGGCAAATGGTTAAAGAACTGTATGCCTAGTATTAGTAAATACTAGTAAACGGTTGTAAACTGCAGCTTAACCACAAACCGCAAAAAAAAAAGATCCCCTGCAGGGTAATGTCATAATGTGCTAGTGTGCCTGGCATAGTAGCACATTATGAAGGACTTACCTTAATACGAAGCCCTCCAGTGGCAAGCTGTCATCGCTACAGAGGCTTCCATCTTCACTTGGTCTTCCTTCCGGGTTCGTCTGAATGGCCGAGCCGCGATGACATCACTTCTGCACATGTGCACGGGAGTCCTGGGCCATGGCACAGTGCTGTGAAGGAATGACACGGGTATGCTGTTCCTTCAGAGCGCATGTGCCGGCTCTAAAAAAGCGCAAATATCTCCTAAATGGTGCACGTTTAGGAGATATTCATTTTACCTACACGCAGGGGCGGACTGACAACTCATGGGGTCCCCGGGCAACAGGGGAGCATGGGGCCCCTGTGTCCTTGCCCAAACTCAAAAAAGCCTATGAAAAAGGTACCATGGGCATCTCATGGGGCCCCCTACTGACCCCAGGCCCTCGGGCAGTGCCCCAGTTTCCAAATGGTCAGTCCGCCCCTGCCTACACGTAAGATTTATTATAAGCTTACCTGTAGGTAAAAGTCTAAAAAAAGAGTTTACTACCACTTTAACAAGCCTTGCATTAAGGGAGCTCATGCACCTGGATGGCTGCCTAGTGCACCAAAAAAGGTGCATCAGCAAGGTGTGTTAGGGTGCCTTTCAGAATAAATAGCATTGTGTCACACCAATGCATGTAACATGTTGCCTTGCTTTACTGCAACACAATAGTGTGAATGGGTCATGAAATAAAACTAAAATTGACCATATTTCACTTTAAAGGAACAGAACCTGTTCGGCTAGGTTGACACCTGTGGATGTGCTTTTCATGCGTTTTTTGGTGTCTTTTTGCAGCATGGTTTTTGCTAGTTTTCATGCTTCATTTTTTTTGCATGAGAAAAGGAAACACAAAACCCTACCAAAATCGCACCAAAAATGCACACACATACATTGTTCATGCTTTTTTGATGTGCTTCCATTAAAGTCTATGACCCCAAAACTCCCTGCACATTTTCCAACAATGCATTGCAGGAAACTGCATAGATGCAAACAGGACCCATAGAAAGCCATATTAAATCGATGATTGTGCATTCCTGCACTTCTGAAAACACATTAAAATGCACGTGTCAACATAGCCAAATTCCTATATTTTTAAAAAAACTATAGCACTAAATTACTGTGACCCAAGGGGTGTATTTCTAAATGATTTTAATAAAAGATTCACACGTTTTTCCAATTGAATTCAAATGTAAAAAAATATACATATAAATCCTTGGAGGAGGTTGAGTGAATCATGTGTGAAAAATTTTATAAATACACCCCCCATTAATGTCACAATACTTTAGTGCTGCAGAGGGTTTTTTTTTTTAGTAGGAAGAAAAGGTTCTGTTACCTTCAAGTGAAACTATGGTCAACTTTATGTACTGTATAAGTTTATGATGTATGAAAATATATGATAAATGAAATGAATAAATTTATATCTATTAGGGATCGTTCACACTTGACTGTTTTACCAACGCTTGCCAAACGCCCCTATAGCGTTTGACAAGCGTTGGTCCGGCATTTGTGGGGCATTTTTTAATGCTCAGCAAATGCTCCTTAAACGCCACATGCGTGGTTTAGCGGCGGGTGCTAGGCGTTTGCCGAGTGTTAAAAACGCTCCGCAAACGCCTATAATGAAGTTTAAATGGTGTTACCGCTCCGCAAACGCCCCGCAACTGCATTGCAATTGCGCCGCAAACGCCGGTGAGGCGTTTGCGGAGCGGCACTATAGACTAGAATAGAAGGCTTCAACGCCTCCTGACTCGACCAGAGGCGTCCGTTTTGCCGCAACACGATGCTAATGCTCCCATTAGAACAGCACCAATGTGCAGAATTGTCAGAGGCGTTTGGGAAGCAGTAAAAACGCTTCCCAAATGCCTCTCTGCTGCCTGCACACAATGCTAGTGTGAACGTAGCCTTAGGGTTGCACCGATACCGGTACTAGGCGTTTGCACAAGTTTCGGTATCTTCAGGTTTGGTTCTATCAGCTGGCAGCAGGATTCACCAGCTTACAGCTGAAATGTGAAAAAGAGAATGCCAGCTATTATTGGTTGTTAAGGACCGGGCCGCCGCATCCTTAACAACCAATGTTGCTGCCAGCTGAAGTGTAAACAAAACCAGGGGCAGCTGCCGCTGTTGCCATCAGTGTCTGAAGGAGCGTATCTTCACTTGTGGAGTCTGCCATGCATGGAGGGAGGAACAGCCTGGATGCCATGCTCAGCCCACCATGTGAAGACTTTCTTCTCTCTCAGCCTCAGAGCTCCCCTTCTCCCTCCATAGTCTCTGCTGTGTGTGCAGACAGGCAAAACACTTTTTTTTTACTGGATCCTGCAGTCCTATAGAGCCCATCATTACCCCCTGTGCTGCCTGCCAGGAGAGGAGCACAGCTGCTGACTGGCTAATGAGGAACTTAAGGCTTGACCCTGTGCTGCTCATGTGAGAGTTGGCTGAGGTTGTAATTTCCCAGAGGGATGATGCACAAATGGTGGTAGACTCATAACATGAACTTTGAAACAGCAAATCCACCATTCAGGGTGCATTCATTTATATCAGGGGTCTCCAAACTTCCTAAACAAAGGACCAGATTGTTGTCCTTCAGACAAGGGGGGCAGACTGTGGCCACGAAACAATGCCTCAGACTTGGTGGTCAGAGGGAGAAAAACAATTACATAGCACCTGTAGTCAGTAGGAGGAGGAATAGTGCTCCATAAATGTTCTTAGTAGGAGACATGGTGCCTCATCATTGGTGTCAATGGGAGCAATAGTGCTCTATTGTTGGTGTCAGTGGTAGAAATAGTGCCCTGTTCTTTGTTTTAGTGGGTGGAATAGTGCTCCATCATTGGTGTCAGTGGGAGGAATGGTGCCCCATCATTGGTGTCAGTTGGAGGAATGGTGCCCCATCATTGGTGTCAGTTGGAGGAATGGTGCCCCATCATTGGTGTCAGTTGGAGGAATGGTGCCCCATCATTGGTGTCAGTTGGAGGAATGGTGCCCCATCATTGGTGTCAGTTGGAGGAATGGTGCCCCATCATTGGTGTCAGTTGGAGGAATGGTGCCACTCGGTGTCAGTGGGAGAAATGGTGCCACATCATTGGTTTCAGTGGGAGCAATAGTATCCTATTGTTGGTGTCAGTGGGAGGAATAGTGCCACTTTGCTGGTGTCAGTGGAAGGAATAGCGCCCTATTGGTGTAAGTGGAAGGAATAGTGTCCTATTGTTCATGTCAATGGGATGAATAGTGCCCCATCATTGGTGTCAGTGGAAAAAATAGTGCCTCGTATCAGTAGGAGGAATAGTGATCCAAGGGCCAGATAAAAGCTAGAAAAGAGCCGCACTCAGCCCTTGGGCCACAGCTTGGAGACCACTGGTTTATATGGAAAATGTATTTATAATAATAATACTGTCCATACAGAATTTGTTGGGAGTAAAATAAATTTTAGCACTAAACTTTTTTTATATTCATGCACTGTGGATGTAATTTGCATAACACATATATATGTGTAGTGTTATTTTATTGCTTTTGATATATGATTTACAGTAATTGAAATCTATGTTTAGTGTTGTATTATTAGCTTGTAAATAATTTTTTTATTTTCATTACTTGTATGAAAAAAAAAAAAAAACATTTAATACACAGAGTGCTTATGATACAGTCCTCACACTGGGCTTTCTAAAAAAACAAAGCAGAACAGTAGATGTTCTTTTTTTGGCCTTCTAACTACATACAGAGCCTAATGGGGCTTGAGAGGGAAGAAAGTGTTCTGTATTCAGCAAAGTAATAAAATGATTAGGAAGTTAACTCACTTGATTGCACTAGCTGTTGGCTGCTAGTCTAAGAATATATTAATTTGCTAAACTAAAATGAAAAAAAATGTTCCTTTTTTTTAATTACAATAAATAAATAGAGAAAATATATACAAAAATATTTAGTTTAATTTGTATTTGAATGGACTGGCAATGCACCAGAAAAAAAAAATGAAAAATGTGCCTGCAACATTTTTTGCAACAGCATTGTGGTTTGCTGCAGTGCAGGGGTGTTGTAATATTACATCATGGTGTTATTCAGAATGCATAACGTGTATTGTCATGTGTTGCAATAACGTGCGTGTCACGACAACGCATTTGTATGAAAACAGCCCTAACTGTGCTTTTTTTACTACATGACCTGTATTGGTCTGCTATACTTGCTTCTGTACAGCAACAACCTGTGTCAGTAAGAAGTATTACATAATATACAGCAGGGTGTAGCGCGCTAAAATGACCAGATCAAAGGATATTATGAAATCAGTGGAACTTGAAGACATCAAGATCCAATAAATAAATAGCTTAAATAGCATAAATGGCATAAGACACGTGTTGTTATTGCAAAAAAAACACCTCAAATGAATCAGTTATAAGATGGATAAAACATAATAACAGTGCTCTAACATGTCACTATGCAGTGACTACTGATGTGCAAAGTGCAAATTGAAAGTCCAACATTAAGGTGCATTGGAGATCATAACGATCTTCAGGATCCAGTAATATGATCCAAATAGGGTAGTGATGAATCCCAGGGTATAAAAATTGCGCACTCACCAGATACACAATCAATCTGCGCATTTAGCGATATCAATCTCAGAAAACTGGGGGTCCCCTCAAGGTCTGGTCAGGCCTGGTATCCTCACCCTCCTACATCTGCTGCCAATATTGGTATTCCCGCGCCGTGAATGGTGAAAGCTCCCAGGGAGCCCCAAAAAGAGGAGGCCAATAGCGTGATATCGTTTAAAAGGGGGTCATTTATTGCAACTAAGTCAAAGTAAAACAAAACACACTGACCAGTGACAGTAATCCAAGATGGCCACCGGGACCTAAGTGGTGCCGGTGGCGTCCAGATGCTGTAGCTCCTCTCTGACGCGTTTCGTGCAATAGCAGGTATTGCATAAAACTTGAAAATAATACTGCTGTAGTAGATACATTTAGTGTATAATAATTACATCTGAAAATAGAGAACAGACAGACACAATCCTTACTGACTGAATATTTGATAAATACAATTCATATGCTTCTTTGTCTGTCTTTAGGTTTGGTAGAAAAGCTATTCTGACTGGCTCTTATTTAATGATGGCAGTATCTGGCACATGTGTGGCTTTCCTCCCCAACTTTGTCACTTATTGCACTTTCCGCTGTCTTTGTGGGATCGCTTTCTCAGGAATTACTCTGAACACCATCTCACTTTGTAAGTAATTAAACCATAGTACATAGGATTACATTCAGAAAATAAATCCCATGGTATAGCTTATATTTGTATTATTATTTCATTTCTCTTATTGTTTAATATACTTTATTTTATCTGCAGTAAAGTGGGTATAGGGATTACATTTCCTAAGTGTCAATTAACTTTTTAGAGAATCTATAGCCATTTTATTGTTGTAACATCTGTAATTGAAAGGAAGATCAGCTAGATTTTTATTTATGTATCGCTTATAATTGTATATATAGAGAAGGCCTCCATATCTGCTCATTATTATAGTAGGCTTCAAATACCCCTGGTCTTCATAACTACAGAGTTTCACAGCTTGCATAGGTTTTCAGATTGAAACATACACCTGCCCTTCAAGTTTAACCAAAAGGAAAAAAATTACCAAAAGTCTTGCGTTGTAAGAACCCTTAACCTGCAGAAGTGACAGAGAAAGCCAGAAACCCCTATAAAGCAATGTTAAGGTGACTAAAGTCTATTTTTTAAATAACAAAGATGTTATACTTACCTGAATTGCACAAAGTGGGTTCTGAACCTGATTGTGGGGGGTCCCCTGCCGGCACTCCTGGCTTTTCATCTTCTCAGTGTGCCACCATAGGAAGTTGCTTCATGGTGGAACACCTCTGGAATCGATCCCGAGCTGCACTGCTCACGTCCATAAACACAAACAGCGTGGCTCGCCACTGCCCTCTGCTCCCCCATCACAGGATTAGGCTGACAGCAGCGGGAGCCAATGACTACTTCTGCATCAGTAATGCCTGTGAGAGTGAGGAGAGCTGCTACAGATGGGCACAGCACTGGATTGAGTAAGAATTCAAGTATAAGGGGGGGGGGGGGGGGTGAGGGGGAGATACAAGCACTGAAAGGTTTTTTACCTTAATGCAGGGAACGCATTAGCGTAAAAAATGTTTAGGCATTTGAATCACTTTAAGCTTGCTCTAACAGAAAATTACCCTGATTGGTATTTATTTATATACAGTACATGCTGGATCAACATTCTACAGTTATTTTTTCTTATAAAAATTAATAACCGTTTATAGTTCGCATTAAAAAACATGTACACAGCCCTTTGTTTAGGAATTCAACTGAGCTGGCTAAAAGTAGCTCTTGTGGAAGACTATTTAACATTTTTCACATCCCTTATTATCTATTTAAAGCGGAAATCTTTCATACAGGTAACAAGCTGAGATTAGCAGCTGTCTCTTAAAGGGAGTGCTGCTAATCTCATTTTGTTACCTGTATAAAAGACGCCTGTCCACAGGAGCAATCAAACAATCAGATTCCAAACTCTCCACCATGGCAAAGACCAAAGAGCTGTCCAAGGATGTCAGGGACAAGATTGTAGACCTACACAAGGCTGGACTGGGCTGCAAAATTATCACCGAGCAGCTTGGTGAGAAGGTGACAACAGTTGGTGCAATCATTCGCAAATGGAAGAAACACAAAACAACTGTCAGTCTCCCTAGGTCTGGTGCACCATGCAAGATCTCACTTTGTGGAGTGTCAATGATCGTGAGAACAGTCAGGAATCATCACCAGAACTACATGTGAGGATCTTGTCAATGATCTCCAGGCAGTTAGGACCACAGTCACCAAGAAAACAATTGGTAACGCACTACGCCAACAAGGATTGAAATCCTGCAGTGCCCGCAAGGTCCCTTTGCTCAAGAAAGCACATGTCCAGGCCCATCTGAAGTTTGCCACTGAACATCTGAATGATGCAGAGGAGGACTGGTTGAAAGTGTTGTGGTCAGATGAGACCAACATTGAGCTCTTTGGCATCAACTCAACTCGCCGTGTTTGGAGAAGGAGGAATGCTGCCTACGACCCCAAGAACACCATCCCAACTGTCAAACATGGTGGTGGAAACATTCTGCTTTGGGGGTCTTTTTCTGCTAAGGGGACAGGACAACTGCACCGCATCAAAGGGATGATGGACGGGGCAATGTACCGTCAAATCTTCGGTGAGAACCTTCTTCCCTCAGCCAGGGCATTGAAAATGGGTCATGGTTGGGTGTTCCAACATGACAATGACCCAAAACACATGACCAAGACAACAAAGGAGTGGCTCAAGAAGAAGCACATTAAGGTCCTGGAGTGGCCTAGCCAGTCTCCAGACCTTAATCCGATTAACAATCTGTGGAGGGAGCTGAAAGTTCAAGTTGCTGAACGTCAGCCACCAAACCTTAATGACTTGGAAAGGATCTGCCAAGAGGAGTGGGCCAAAACCCCTCCTGAGATGTGTGCAAACCTGGTGGCCAACTACAGGAAATGTCTGACCTCTGTGATTGCCAACAAGAGATTTGCCACCAAGTACTAAGTCATGTTTTGTGAAAGGGATCAAATACTTATTTCCCTCATGAACATGCAAATCAGTGCATCATTTGTTAGACATGCATTTCTTTTGAATTTGTTGTTGCTAGTCTGTCTCTGTGTTACAATACAGCTACCATTCGATTTTTAAATTGATAATTTCTTGTGAGTGGGCAAACATTCAAAATTGTTAGCTAGGAGGGCTGAGTAGCAGCCTGCGTATGATAGCTATCAGGGTCAAATGCAGGTTAGAACTAAGAGGCTCTGCAGATCAGCTTTCTGGAATTTCCCCCTTCTCTAGAACTTTGGAGAAAGATCTAGAAGCAGTGGGCGGAGATGAGGAGTGGCTGGTCTGTACTCTTAGAGGATCCTGGCAATCCTCAACAAGAGGCTTGGCAAAGGACAGCCTGTAAAAGTAACCAAGCCTGCACAGCAGCAGGAGAGTTGGAGGAGAGTTCAGGTGGAAGAGGCAGAAGTTGCCAACTGTCTGCAGAGTCAATAGCTAAAGACCTCCAAACTTCATGTGACCTTCAGATTAGCACAACAACAGTGTGTAGAGAGCTTCATGGAATGGGTTTCCATGGCTGAGCAGCTGCATCCAAGCCTTTCATCACCAAGTACAATGCAAAGCGTCCGGTGCAGTGGTGTTAAGCATGCCGCCACTAGACTCTAGAGCAGTGAAGACGTGTTATTTGGAGTGACAAATCACGCTTCTCAATCTGGCAATCCGATGGACATGTCTGTGTTTACCGTTTGCCAGGAGAAGGGTACTTGCCTGACTGCATTGTGCCAAGTGTAAAGTTTGGTGGAGTCATGTTGGAACAGGAAGGGGGGCCATCCCCAAACTGTTCCCACAAAGTTGGGAGCATGAAATTGTCCAAAATGTCTTGGTATGCTGATGCCTTAAGAGTTCCCTTCACTGGAACTAAGGGGCCAAGCCAACCCCTGAAAAACAACCAAACACCATAATCCCCACTCCTGTGGACTAAGACTGGGATGCCGTTAAAGTTTATGTGTATGTAAAGGCATGTGTACCAATACTTTCGGCAATATAGTGTATATTTATGTGTGTGTGTATTTAGCATAAGGAACTTAAGACTTTTCAAAGCCTGCAGTTCTAGAGATGCTGTGCCACTGTTCTGCCCTGCCTGTTCTTTGCATTGGTCATGAATGTCATGAAATTTATTGTAGCTGGTTCAGGCTATGTCGTTCTGCAATTCAAAGACATTTGCTGCATAGACTGAGACTCCCTTCCTTTCCCTCTAATGTTCAGTGCAGAGTAATTATGTCATTTCCTGCTGACAGAGTGGGAAGTGTGTCTGAAAGTAGAGGATCTTGGGACTTGTAGTCTTACAGCCTAGTTGTACTGTACTCCTCTGCATTATCTGGACTATAACTACCAGAAGTAAGGCAAGCCCAAGGACTCCTGGGCAGAGATATACAGTTGCAAGAAAAAGTATGTGAACCCCTTGGGATTATGTGGAGTTTTGCATGAATTGGGCATAAAATGTGCTCTGAACGTCATCTAAGTCACAACAATAGAAGAACACAGTCTGCTGAACATAATACTCCACAAACATTAGATGTTGCCATGGTTTAATTGCACATAACATGTAAACATTCACAGTGCAGGGAGGAAAACGTATGTGAACCTTTGGACTTAATAACTGGTTGACCCTCCTTTGGCAGCAATAACCTCAACCAAACGTTTCCTGTAGTTGCAGATCAGACCTGCACAACGATCTGGAGTAATTTTGGACCACTCCTCTTCACAAAACTGTTTCAGTGTAGCAATATTCTTGGGATGTCTGGTGTGAATCGCTCTCTTAAGGTCCGGTCATGCCACAGCATTTCAATCGGGTTGAGGTCAGGACTCTGACTGGGCCACTCCAGAAGGCGTATTCTGTGCTGTTGCAGCCATTGTTTTGTTGAATTACTTGTATGCTTTGGGTCATTGTCCTGTTGCATCACCCATCCTCTGCGGAGCTTAAGTTGGCGGACAGATGGTCGTACGTTTTCCTGCAAAATGTCTTGATGAACTCTGGAATTAATTTTCCCATCAATGACAACAATCCGTCCAGGCCCTGAGGCAGCAAAGCAGCCCCAAACCATGATGCTCCCTCCGCCATGTTTTACAGTGGGGATGAGGGTTTGATGTTGGTGTGCTGTGCCTTTTTTTCTCCACACATAGTGTTGTGTGTTCTTTCCAAACAACTCAATCTTGGTTTCATCTGTCCACAGTATATTTTGCCAGTAGTGCTGTGGAACATCCAAGTGCTCTTTTGCAAACTTCAAACGTGCTGCAATATTCTTTTTGGACAGCAATGGCTTCCTCCGTGGTGTCCTCCCATGTGCTCCATTCTTGTTTAATGTTTTCCTTATTGTAGATGTGTCAACAAAAATGTTAGCATGTGCCAGAGATTTCTGTAGGTCTTTAGCTGACACTCTGGGATTCTTCTTTACGTCATGCAGCATTCCGCGCTGTGCTCTTGCAGTCATTTTTACAGGACGACCATGCCTAGGGAGAGTAGCAACAGTGCTAAACTTTCTCCATTTGTAGACAGTCTGTCTTACCGTGGACACATGAACATCAAGGCTTTTGGAGATACTTTTGTAACCCTTTCCAGCTTCATGCAAGTCAACAATTCTTGATTGTAGGTCTTCTGAGAGCTCTTTTCTGCGAGGCATGGTTCACATCAGACAGTGCTTCTTCAAACCAGTAAACCCAAAACAGGTGTGTGTTTTTTTAAGGGCAGGACAGCTGTCAGCAACACATCCAATATCATCACACTGATTGGAGTCAAGGTTGGCTCACTCCTGGCTCCAATTAGCTCTGGGAGAAGTCATTAAGCTAGGGCCTCACATACTTTTTCCTCCCTGCACTGTGAATGTTTACATGTTATGTGCAATTAAACCATGGCAACATCTAATGTTTGTGTAGTATTATGTTCAGCAGACTGTGTTCTTCTATTGTTGTGACTTAGATGACGTTCAGAGCACATTTTATGCCCAATTCATGCAAAACTCCACGTAATCCCAAGGGGTTCACATACTTTTTCTTGCAACTGTATATTTTCTTGCTGCATCCATGTTAGCTCTCTTTGCACGGGGACTTGGAGTCTGACAGAGGAGAGTGTGACCTCTTCCCAGGAGTTCCAGGTCACGGTTGCACCAAGTAAACCCTGCTCAGTCTCTCATCATAGTGTGGGGAGACCATCAGCGTTCCGGGGACCACAGTATTATTTGAAGATTGGACCAGGCATCACTGGGCATTGTGCAAATCTCTTCACCGGTGGGTTGACTGCAGGGCTGCTGTTTGAAACTACGGAGCCCTATACAGCCAACCTGAAAGCCCCCCCTCCCCCAAAACACAGTTATGAATGAACACAGTGATCGATACTGATCACTCATTGTGTTCATTCAGGAAAGTAAGGGGCTGGTAAATGTGACATATTTATTAGTCTCTTCCCCCACTCTCCATCCTGATTGATCCTATTGTGTGGTTGCAGTTGCCGGTGGAAAGGAGAGGAGGAAAGGTGGCAGTACTGTGGGGGTGGGGACACACAGGGGAGCCTAGGCAGTAGGGGAAATGTATGGAGCACAGGGAGGGTAATGTGTGCAGTAGGAGGGGCAATTACTGGGACAGATCCCCTGTCTGATTCTCTGCTTTAGCTTAAAGTCAGTGGGGGGCAGAGAAGAAGCCATCTTTCTGCTGCTGCAGAGAGAGCCAAACGGAATCTGTTCCAGTAATTGCTCCCCCAGCCATGCCGATCATCATCTCTGCCCACATCCAATTCACTCATCTGCCTGGGCCCCCTGCTGGCCTTGGCCCCATACAGGGGGACTGGTGCTACCCCCTTATCCATGGTCCTGGTTGACCAGTTGCCCAGAGGCCATCAAGCGGCATCCTGTACTACCAAGATCCAGACAACATGAAGCAGGGTTTGGTTGTGCCACTCTAGAGGTTTGGTGAGTGGGTGTATGCCCAACAATCCTCCTTGCATAGACACTGCATGCAGACAACTTTAATGCCAAAGTTGCTGTTGAGTAAGTACTATCTGCTAATCTTTCATCCAGTTGTTACTACTGCACAGTGACAAATCTGTTCCTTATCATAAACAGGCTAGAATTAAGGAACACACTCATTGGGACTCCTCTATCCAAAGGGACTCCATCTGTGGGGAGGTTGCTGACTGTACATTGATATTGCTGAATTACTGCTTAGACATTTATAGGAGAAACTCCTGCTCAGAGTCTATATGTTTGTGTTGTTTATTGCCTGTGGCGTCAGGGCCTAGAGGGAACTGACTGACCAAGGGTCTCCTCTTCCCCCTAGGATCATAGATCTACTGAAGATTTGACGTTGTCTCTGTATATACTGTATATTGTTAGAAATCAGTGAGTGACTGTTTCCCGTAGCCAGAGAGTATATTTGTTGGTCCAGGGTCTGTTTCCTTATTGACTTAATATATCCAGTAAAGTATTTCTTAAATTCTAATATCTCTGTTGGTGTCTGCAGTGACTCATCTAACCTGGTGTTCCAGAGGGATTGAGGTTGTTCTTTGGATTGAGGCAACGCAACAGGGGACCCAAACATTCAAGCAGCTTCTTTGGCGGTAGCGCTACATGATTTTATATCTACCCAAGTACCTCCCGCTTCTTGACTTATATACACACACACAGATAATCATACTTGTTTAGAATTAAACCAGTTTCTAAAAGTGGTTTTGCAGTAATATAGGAATGAACATCAGGGTGTTTTATGTATTTGCATGTTTTTAATATCTCTCAGGCCTAGAATGGACCCCACCCAAAGGGCGGACTGTGATTGGCACACTATTTTGCCTACAGTTTTACATGTGGACAGCTTCTGCTAGCAAGCTTTGCTTATGGGATTCGAGAATGGCGCTGGCTGCAGTTCATTGTTTCTGCCCCATACTATGTCTTCTTCTTGACTTCATGGTAAGAGGTATAAATATGTAACTTTATTAATCATTTGGAAAACTAAAAGATCTCCTACATTTTGTTTAATTAGATTGTTAATTGTTAAATTAAATACTTTATAGAAGACATTTGGAAGACAAGGTAAGTGTGTTCTAGAAATACAGAGAAATACAATTGAAGGATAATTTTCCCACATCGACCAGTAGGGTTTCATATTTCAAATGAAGCAGTCAATATAGTTGCTATGAGTAACTACTGCAGTTGATCCAGTTTGTGTTGGTTCAGATTTTTTTTACCTCTGTTTTCTGTAAATCACCCCTAAAAAAAAAATCTCATCTGTCTTTATGGCTCCAGGTTTGTGCCAGAATCGGCTCGTTGGCTTATTGTGAAAGGCCGCTCAATTCATGCTCTCAGAAATCTTCAGAGAGTAGCCTGGATAAATGGGAAAAAAGAAGAGGGTGAAAAACTTACAGAGAAGGTAAATGTTAAATATCTATGTATCTTTTATTTGTTAGTTTTTAATATGTCATCTGCAAGGTTGGTAGGACCATAAAAGACCTGAGAAACACATGACCCCACTGTAAGGCAATTTTACATATAACCTTTTCATATAAATTAAGAAGATATTCAGGAAAAAAGGTTTTTATTTGAGTATGCCCAATAACAGAGATTTCCACCCATTTCCTGTTTTAACAGGCAGTGAGAAGAAATTTCCCAAAAATGCAGACAGCAATAAATATCTGACAGAAGCTCTAACCCTTTCCACTCTATCCAAACAAAAATCTTCACACTGTTCACTCTGCTGGTGAACACCTGAAATGTTTTGCTTACACTTTGAATGCATATGAATCTTGATATTACCATGCAGCCCTTTATGCCTACTGTATTCAACAGTAGACGTGAAAGTTATGTCTGCAATTTAAAGTTAAAAAACCAATGTTGGTGAAGCGCTTCACATAAAGAACTATATATATATATATATATAAAGTACAATGATATCAAAATATAAAATGCATATAAAGTGACCACTCTGTATTGAAAGATACAAATGACTAGTGCTAAGTATCCCCCCCCCCCCCCCAAAAAAAATATATAAGTGCCAAGTGCTGAGAGTGCAAGACAGGTCATGCGTTTGCTGACTAGATCGTGCCAAAATACAATATATGCAAAATAAAAGTAATACACAATGACATTGCACACTCTAACTGAAAGTGACAGGTGCTCAGTATGAATATAAATGTTGGTTAAAGATAAAAAATCCACAATAAAGTGCAATAACAAGTGCTTGTCATTTCATCTGCAAACAAACACCGCGATATCAGTGCTTCAATTCTTCACTCCAAACATGATGCGTGTTAGCATGCCACACGTGTATATCATGATCCAAAAGTGGCTGAAGTGCCTCCTCACCTTAACCATGCGACCCCTAAGGGCCACAATGCTTTAAGTAATAATGCTCCACCAGACAGGGGATCTCTGTTATAATTCTCCTATAGTACCACTCAGTCTCCTCTGCCAGGTCACTTATGCCCTTCAGATGGTAATACCCCAGTATTGCAGATCTCATACAGCTGGTCTCCCATGTGCTGTGGGTGTACTGCAAGGTGCTGGGTGTCCAAAGATGGCGTCTGCCGAATGTGCGTAACCGGAAGTACGTCACCGCGCTCTACGCGTTGCTCCGCGATGTCACGTGACTTCGTCAGGAACGTAGCGCGGTGACGTACTTCCGGTTACGGATACATTCCAGATACGTTTTTGCAGTTCACACCACACGCAGTTCTGATGCAGTTTTGATGCAGTTTGCCATGTTCCAGTATGGTTCTGTGCAGAAAAAATGCAGCATGTTCTTTTTTTTTTTCTGCACTGGAACCTAACTGAAACTGACTGCACTGGTGTGTACCAGGGCCATTGGAATACATGGAAAATACTCTGCACGCATTTTTGATGCAGAAAAAAGCACACTGAAACTGCATCTAGTGTGAACTAGCCCTAAATGTTTTTCCACCTTAATGCATTCTCTACTTTAAGGTATAAAACACCATATTACCTAATACACCCACCCCCATACCTAAACACTTTCCTGATTTCTCTCAAGATCTAGCGCTCTCCTGGGTGCAGCACCCCTCCTCTCATTTCTGGTTTCACAGGAGACACTGAGAGCATAGGGAGCTATAGGCTCCTACTGTAGTCAGTTAAACCCCTGTGAAGAGCGAGTGGGGGCGTGGCCTACCAGCATTGTGTCTGCATATTGACGCACAAAGCCCAGCTTGAGAGCACATGTGCACAGGTGACTCCATGCTGCCCCGCTTTCCTTAGAAAGTACCTAGAGAAAGGAGGAGTGGACAGCGCTGGCAGTGGACTACGAAAGAAGAGGTAAGGGACTGCTCTGAGCTTGATTTTTGCACAAAGCAGTTGAGTATAACGTCATTTTTATTTTAATTAAAAATAACCTTTAATATCACTTCAAGATTTATAACCTGTCTTTTTAGGCCTTAATCGCTCACATGCAATCTGAGTTATCTAGCATAAAGCAATCTCATTCCCTTCTGGATCTTTTCCGCACTCCTGGAATGCGCCAGATCACAATCTTTCTTATGCTGGTTTGGTAAGTACCTATTTCATGATATTCATTATTCTTTGTCCTTGGAGCTTCTTCTGAGAGTCACTGTACTTATCTATTTACTGTAGCATATCAACATGTGAATTCTTATAATGATATCCTTAATAATGCACAGTCTCTATTTGCTCTTAACATTTAAGGGGTCATTTAAAAAGCAGCGGTATTGTCATAGGGCTTTGTCATCCACACACTGGGACTTAATTTTATTAAATTGAATGGACCATGGTGTGTATAAGAATGAATATAAATACATTCATATTTTGTATTAACCGCTTCCCCTCTGCCCTATAGCAGACGTACTGCTACAGGATGGCAGGGCTGCTCAAAATCGCGTATATATACGTGATTTGCATTTCCAGGTAGGGGGGCGCGCGCTGACTTACCCGATTGCCGAATAACACTGACAGGCTAGAGACCTATATATATATATATAAAAACACAGGTCTCTCTCCTGCCAGCAATAACATGCTGCTGTGTATTTCTCTGTACAGCAGAGAAATACACAGCAGCATGTTTACCTAGTAAATCACACACAGCACATTATGTAAAACCCGCACACAGTTAACCCTTTGATCACCCCAGATGTTAACCCTTTCCTGCCCAGTGTCATTAGTACAGTGTTATTGCTTTTTATTAGCACTGATCACTGTATTAGTGTAATTTGGATGTCAGTGGCAGTTAGTCAGTTCCCACCCATTGTCAGAATGCCCGCTGCAGTCCCACAGTCCTGCTATAAGTCGCTGATCGCCGCCATTACTAGTATAAAAAAAAAATGTAAATTCCAGTATATATACCGCCATCTATAGTATATAACTTTCACGCAAACCAATTATTTTACATGTATTGGGATTTTTTTTTCGCAAAGACATGTAACAGAATACATTTTGGCCTAAATTTATGACAAAAGTTTTTGTTTATAGCACAAAAAATAAAAAATGCACAGGTGATCAAAGAAAGCTCTATTTGTGGGAAAAAAAGGACATACATTTCATTTATGTACAGCATTGCATGATCATGCAATTGTCAATCAAAGTAACGCAGCGCCGTAACGCAAAAAATGGCCTGATCAGGAAGGGGGTAAATTCTCTGGAGGGCAAGTGGTTAAAGTAACACATTTTAGGGATTTCGATATATATTTTTATGAAGATTTGTAATTCTTTGCGAAATATAATGTGTCTTAGCAGTCACATAAACATGGGATGACATAGGTGTATTTTGAGTCTTTATTAGGGATGAGCTGAACGCACCTGGGCAGGTTCCATGAAGTATACTGATATTCATGTGTTGAATCTGAACCCCAGTGTCAATGGGAGCCAAATGTTAAGAAACAGTAATGGCATAATAGTCCACGGATTGTCAAAAAAAGACATGAACATGTACCAAAAAAATAAGCAAAAAAAAAGTCTATAAGATTCAGTTTGACAGGGAACACCAATTTTTTTAATGCTTCAAGTGAAGTAATACAAATTAAAAAATAATTTGAAGAACATGCCTGTGAAGTGGTGCATATGTAAGATGTTTACAACCTACTACAGCAAAATTGACATTTACAAATAAAAAAATTTAGTTTATTGTTGGTAAATTACAGCTTCAGCCTCTTCCGTTTTTAAAAAAAAAAAGCGAAAGGGGATTGATTTAATCTATATCAGACCCTTATCCTAGTTGAGGGTCTGGTATAGATGTTAATAGGAGATGCCCACAAAAAAGGCTTTGTGTTCCCTCTAAAAATACATATGAGACGCTTAACCCAGATGAGGGTCTGGTACGGATATCAAGGGGGGCCTCATGCAAAACAAAATAAAAAAGCATGGGGGCCCCTCCTAATTCTATCTCAGACCTCTCATATCTGGTATCGATTGAGGTTCTCTCAACATCTAGACTCTTATCTAAGCATGCAACCTGACAAGCAAGCAGCCTCTTTTCTACTGAACCACCCATAGCATATGCCCTCAACATAGCGGTGGGCCGTTGCCAGGGTAGACTTCCCTGGCAAAGCACCTTGTCCCCATGTTGATGAGGACATATGCCTTTTCCCCACAAGCCTGGTTTGGTGGTTGTGGACGTTTGTGGCCAGGGGGCTTATTGGAATATGGAAGCCCCCTTTAAATTAGGATTTAAGATCAGTTTGTGGGGGAAGTCGCAGACAGGGGGAATAGTCACAGCCAAGGCAGTTTTTTCCTGTGTGAATGTTTTTTTCTGCAGTTGAACACAGCAGTTTTACAAAAGTAGGATAACTAAAGCAGCAAGAAGATACAACAAAGAACTCAGCTCCACTCTGGACTGACTGCAAGCAAACCAACACTTTGGAAAGCATCCTCTACAAGGATGACTCCAGCTCCCTCTACCCTTTAATATGCCTCCTCTACTCCTCCTTCTCATATTCGTGTCCTCTGTTCTCAAATTCTCATTTCTCTACCCCTTCTCTCCTCCCCAAAGCTTGTACATATCACCCTTACTTTTACCCTCTCCTTATTACTATTCTCATCACGTCTTGCAAATACTTAACCCACATGCTGACCCAAACACCAGCACAGGGTGGTATACAGTATGTACTTGTATACATCACACTTCCATCTTACTTTCCTTGCCCTCCTTCTTCTCCTTATCCTGGTCCTCCAGTGTCTTAGCCCCACACCCGGCACCCTCCTTCTTCCAGCAATAGCAACAGTCCACTCAGTTTAATATCAATCCCCCACCCCTTCTCATGTACCCTTCGGAATGGAATATACGCTTTTTTCAACAAGCTCACCTCTGTCCATGACCTTTTTGTCTCCCACTCCCTTAACCCACTTGCAATTACTGAAACCTGGTTTCAAGCATCTGACTCTGCCTCTCATGCGGTCCTCTCCCATAGAGGCCTCCACTGGACTCACTCACCCAGACACAGTGGTCGGAAAGGAGGTGGAGTTGGTTTGCTTCTATCCCTACTGAGCACCTTTCAAGTCCTTTCTACTCAGCCTTCTCTATCCTTCTATTCTTTTGGGACTGCATTTGTATGTCTTCTCACATTCTCTAAGAATTGCAGTGATCTATTGGCCTCCTGGACCAGTGTCACATTTCCTTGATGACTTTTCTGCCTGGCTACCCTACTTTATCTGCTCTGAAATACCCACTATCATCCTTGGTGATTTTAACATCCCTATTAATGTTAATAGCCCAGCTAATTCTCAACTTTTCAACTTTACCTAATCTTTCAACCTAACACAATATACACAGTCCTCCACTCACTCTGATGGTTATACCCTTGTCCTTGTATTCTCCGATCTCTGCACTCCTGGCAACCTCACCAACACCCCCTTTTCTTCTTTCTGATCACAACCTCATCACTTTCAGAATATCCTTGTCTTCAACCACCTATCTCTCCAAGCAGCAGACAATTACGTGTAGAAACCTTCTACACTTCAATCCATCTCTTTTCTACTATGCAACTGACCACCTCTATGTCAGAATCTCTCCCTTTCCTTTCCTAAGCTGGCCACTTCTGTCTACAACAGTTTACGCTCATCCTACGCTGGAATCATTTGCTCCTCTCACTACGCGATGTATCAGGTCCCGACCATTACAACCTTGGCAGACTGATGACACTAGAAATGTTAAGAGTCATAGTTGTGCACTGGAACGATTGTGGCGTAAAAACAAATCCCAGCAAGCATTCACTCTATATAAATCTGCCCTCTTAAAATACAATTCCACCCTCCATGTTGCCAACAAGCCTACTTTGTCAGTCTCATTAATACTCTGTCATCCAGTCCTCATCATCTCTTCTCTACTTTTTACTCTCTACTTTCTCCACCTCCACGCGCAAATAACTCGCTCACTGCTGACGAGATTGCCAATCACTTCAAAAACAAAATTGATTCAATTTGCGGGGACATCTCCATTGCACAGATATCTATCCCACTCAACACACCCCTGTACAAAGCCACCTTCAGCGCTTTCCACTTTGACCTTGCTACTACTGAAGAGGTTGCTAAAGTTTTCTCAGAAGCCCTCCTTAACCACCTGTCCACTGGACCCAGTTATCTCACAACTACTACGGTCACCCTCTTCTTCTATTCTGTGCTCCCTCACTCACATCTTCAATTTCTCCCTCTCTACTAGCACATCCCCCTCCCCTCTAAAACATGCACTGATCACCCCCATACTTAAAAGGCCCTCACTGGACCCCACCAGCCTGAACAACCTAAGACCCTTCTCTTTGCTCCCATTCATGTCTAAACTTATAAAATGCTTTGTCTACAACCGTCTTAACTCCTACCTCACTGACAACAATCTTCTTGACCCCTTACAGTCCAGCTTTCGCTTTCGCTTACTCCATTCCACTGTAACTGCCCTATAAAAACTTAAGAACGATTTACTAACTGCTAAAATCAACAGCCACTACTCTATACTAATACTACTAGACCTCTCTGTGGCTTTTGATACTGTTGACCACCCCCTCCTCAATAAAATAACTCCACTCTCTTGGCCTTCAAGACTCTACCCTCTCTTGGTTCTCCTCCTACCTATCACAGCGCTCCTTCGGTGTTAGCCATAACTTTGTTTCCTTCTCTCCACTTCCTCTATTTACTCCATCTACACATCCTCTCTTGGTCAGTTGATTATTTCCCATGGCTTCTAGTACCATCTCTATGCTGATGAAACCGAAATCTATCGCTCTACTCTTCACCTCACTCCTTCAGTCTCCTCTCACATTACTAATTTATTAACTGACATATCAGCATGGATGTCACACGACTTCCTCAAACTCAGTCTTTCTAAAACTGAGATCATAATACTCCCTCCAGCCCGTGCTCCCTCCCCTGACTTCTCCATCTAGATCAATAATACAGCTATCAAGCCATCCCCTCATGCCAGGGTATTTGGTGTAATCCTGGACTCTGACCTGTCCTTTCAGCCCCAAATCTGATCGCTGTCCAAATCTTGTTGACTTAACCTCTGTAACATTTCCAAAGTACGCCCCTTTTTAACCGTTGAAACCGCTA